ATGGTTTGCCACTTCCATACAATTTGGCAATGTAAAATACAATGTACGTGCAAAAACAGTTAGTTCCATTTTTTTCTTTTTAAAGTCAGAGGTCTCGTTTTGTTTGTCCATGTTTTGTTTACTCCCAAACAATATAAGTCCAGAGCTCAGTTTGTCTCTGTGGCAACAAATGGCACAAGGGATGTGAGGATGGGAACGATGATCAAAACCAAAACAGGACAAAAACACAGGAGGATAGATTTTGCAAACAAACAAACAAAATTACAGTGGACACCCATAACCAATATTTTAAGGCGAATCGAATGCGACTTGTTGAGTACAAGCATATTTGTTAGTATTTAAACGGCAATTATCAAACAAGCCAGAATAGATAGTCCCTCATGACATTAAAAGCCATTTCACCAAAATTATTTCACTACCAGTGTATGTTAGCAGTTTTTTCTACTATCCCCTCTCAATAACGTTTGTTTGAGGATGTACCTCTGAATGCCATTGTGGAGGAGTACTCTTTTTTGGGTTGGCTCACTGATTTTTTTATGTAAACAATTTAATCAGCACAATGCATTTACATTTACACAGAGGCGTAACCAGTTTTTGGTGGCAAATGCCCAAGTGCAAGTGCTCAATCAACAAGATAATGGGAGAAAAATAATGAAGCCTATTTTTTGGATAAATAAACATACCGATTAGTTTCTTTCCTACACACCTATGTAGTATTCTCAGTTGAAAAAAATATCAAACAAATATAAGAATTTAAGAAAAATCTGTCGGGGAGGGGAAACTGCTCCCCTCCCCTTCCCCACTGTACTGACACAACTGGGACTGATTACATGTTATCTATAATTCTGTGCTCTATGAACATTAAACAACTTGACTTGTTTTATCGATAAATTTGCAAGGGTCACTGTTATTCCACCAAAAGAAGTATCTTTTTTTTCTGAAATTCAAGACAATTTTGTTGAAAAGATTAAAAATAAGGTGCATCACACACTTAACACCTCCTCTGCCAAAGAAATGGCTGCATGCTTCGACAGCATCTGTGCATGGTAACCATGACAACTACATCCCATCTACCACAAGGTAATGGATGTCTAATGGGAAGTATCTAGGTATCTAGTCTATGCATTAGAGAAGGCTAAAACTAAAGTGTACATGTATTTCACTTATTTTATCCATTTAACTCCACAAGTGTGTTTTACTCCCACTTTCTTCTTCCAATGTGTCAAATGGAGATGGTCTGATACTATTAAATGTGACACACTAGTCAATTTTGTCTTGTCAAATGAGGAAAGTAATCGACTGTGTGATGGTTAGTCTTCTCTATTAAAAAGAAACAAAACAAGTTATCACCTGATCAGAGCAAATTGTAAGACAGAGAGGACTGTCCGTTAAGGCATGAACTAAGTAAGAACCTGGAGACTTTGTCTTGTACAAAAAGTTTATAACAATATTCTGACGTTAAATGAAACAAACGAGTGTTTCACATCCAGGCAGTGAAAAAAAACTAAGTTTATTCAGTTATAGATTTATTGTTCAACTATTCCACATGGCTCCGTCTAGACTGTAATACAGCACTCAATCTGTCACCTCATCCATTATCATCAATGCACTTATAAATATTCATTATTTATTATTTGTTTATCAATGGCCATAACCTACAGACAAACTATTATCATCAATGCACTTATAAACATTCATTATTTGTTTATCAATGGCCATAACCCACAGACAAACAAAATAAGACTATTATATTCAAGTTGTTTCATCTATAGCAGGCTCAGGAGCCCATCAAAATATTTTATGCCCAAGTGCTAGCAATGAACAACTTGTTGACATAGGGGCCTGGCATAATGTAATGAATGGCGTACAGTTAATGTTTCTGTTTTAGTTATGCCTTGTTGCCAGGCATCAAACTATTAAACAAGTTAGAAAGGATATGCCTCTCCGTTTCGGGTAGAAACACCCATTTATTACAACATAGATTTTTAATGAAAATTCTTCAATCGGCATTAATAATGCGGTTTTTTTCCTCTGACGCATAGAAACAAGGGTGCACAACAATCTTTTCCAACAATTGCAAAAAGGGAACTACTCCGCAGAAGTAAAATAGGCCAAAAACAGTAAATGCTTCAACCAATTCACAATTGGCTTACCATCAGGATTCTCTGCTATTAAACCGTGTCAAGACCTGTGAATTTAAGTCGTTTTTTTTAACTGGATGGATTTGCGTCAGGAATACTTTTACGGGTGATCATCTTTGCAGGAAAATTTCTACCCAATTAATTGGCTTATCATCACTTGACAGAACCTCACAGATGATACGCATCTCAAAGTACATGTACTGTTAAAAGTTGTACATGCATTTATCCTGGTTTTGGTCGCAAATGACAGTGTTTACCATTATTACCCCCAAGAGAATATTTACCAGTCTGCAACCTGAGACCCACTGAAATCTACATGTACCACACCCAACCAGTGTAAATACAGCACCTGGATATTATTTGACCAGTTACAACACCAGAGGGCTTATGCTGGTACATCCACATATTTTCTCTGTCACAGCGTCACCCTGACTCTGATGGGTTTGCATCAAATTATATTGAAAACTAGGAATTGAGCCTCTCTAGGATTAATTTGGGTACTTGCAAACAAAATCGGGCAATGTCTACAGAGGCGGCCAGGTTACTAAAAAACTGTCAAATTTCCCATTTGTTATGCATACCTACCCAGTTATGAGGAGGTGGACAAGCATTGAAGGTCAACTTCACTTTTGTCCCGCAAAAAAATCACTCTGTGAATCAGCGTGTCGCAGAAGATTAAGTTATGGGTGGATAGTATCATTTGCAGGAGAAAAAGAAGCCAAGACACTTCACCAGTTTTAAAATCAAGCCAAACACCACAGTGGCATAGCTGGGATTTTACTAGTGGGGAGCACAAGGGGAGTACCAGCATCTTATGGGGGGTGGTATGTTTTTGGGGGGCAAACTTTTGTTAGCCTTGTTCCATATCCATTCATCTTCTGTTTTTTTTTTGGGGGGGGGCATCTGGGAGGCACCGGGAATTTGTGGGGGCACATGCCCCCCAGGCCCCCCTGTGGCTATGCCACTGAAACACCATGCGCACCGGTGCTGAGTTTTGAGATTCTTTAGTTCAATACATTTTGTATTTGCAACTTCATCTTTTGCAATGCCAGCCGCAGCATGACATGTAACAGCCAAGTGCAGATGGTCATCCAGCCAGGTGCAATTAACACACAGTCTACCTATGTGTACTGCTCCACGACTAGCCAACATTGGACATACATAAACAAGGAGAATCACTGAGGTATGAGGCATGTGTACAATTCCGCTGCCAGAGACTGATGAGGGTGTAAACTTGGGCCAAGTTTAAACAGCGACCACTTGACAACTAATAACAATCAGTTTGCATAAAATGCATCCTGGGTACAAGGAAAGGTAACCAAGTGGATGACAAATAGTTGCTGATTCAGTTGGCCTTCGTACGTGTAGTTCAACACATTATTGCACGATCTATTCTGACTTTTGACACGACACAACTTGAAAAATGCAGAACAGCCCTGTAGATCCTTCTTTTAAACAAGCTTCTTACAAAAGGTTAATCCATTTGGTTTTGCCTTAACTCAGCTGGCCTTCAGAGATCTGCCTTCAGCAATTATCAACAAAGATGGTATGTCCTTGTCATGCTATACATAAGACATAGTCTTCCAACCTTCAAGGCTTAAATGCATCTACTTGTCATCATTTTTACTGCTTGTTTCCTTTCTAAACTAGTATTAGCCAGTTTTGACTGAGCTGTGAGGCCACAATATCCAGTGTACAGTAACATTTTGCCTAAAACATGTTGGAAAGTTGCACTCAAAGCTGATAAGATATAGATTCAAAATGGCATAATATACAATGAGAGTGCGGAAGTTTTATAACCATTTATTACAAGGGATGGGTTTCAAAGTAATCATCTGAACAAATGTCATGACAGACATAAAACCGCCTCTTGTTTGAACAGCTAGCTTCAGTTTCCGTTGTAGTCCAATTTGCGTACATGAACAAGTGTCGGTATGTTTTGAAAGTTTACATTCTATAAACTGCCAACATAAAACAATACTGATTTACGTGTATGAGGTACAAAGGACAAAGGTGGAGGAAAGCATAATGAGCCAGTATGTTTGGAAGTACATATACTCTTAAAAAGGGCAGAATTTGGTCAAGAAGGTCTATTCTGTCCCTCCCCTGAAAGGAAAATCAAGGAAAAGAAACAAAAACAGATTTAAGGTTTACATATAGTCATGTACTTTTCCCCTTCCAAGCAAAGAATTCAAATCACTTTCAAGTGACACAAAATCAGGGGTCAGTCGTGTTAGCAGTTCCCCTACAGTTGTCAATTTCTACAAGTGTTTCAACATCCAAAAAGTTTTATTTTGTGAATAGGCACACAGACTGCAGTTAGAATCAAACAGTAGCGTACTATTATGTTATTAATAATGCTGTGGAGATAACACTGCCAACATGATGGCGAGTTAACTGGCCCCATTTGATGGTTTGGGCCAAGTGCCATTACCACCACTTGTTCTTTTACCCTTTCCCCAAGGCACTGAACCCTCTTTCTTCACTAAAATCCCCTTAACATTAACAGACATCCCTTTTTTGAACTGTTGGCATTTATGACATTTAAAAACTCTGAAAGTCTGAACTAGCATTCTTCCTAATAAACAAAATATCCTGGAGATGTCATGGTTCAGCACAAAATGTTTTTTTCATACAGATCATGAAAGATGTCCATATTGGAAGGCCAACTTTTAGAAGAGCACATTGAGCTAAGAGACACTGGAGGAAGGCATCCCAAGTGTATGGTATCGTCACCATGCAATAGGTTTTGGCTTTGGGGGCTAATGACTCATGCACACATGGACTTACATGTATCAATACCTACTGCACAGTCAAGTCACTGAATATACTTTCACTTTCAATGATTATCAAACTTACCTGCTGAATACATGCATGTTATCAACAGGAGAAGTCGCGTCACAAAGGGAACCCAGCTCCCAGAAAACAGTGGTCCAGCCATTGTTTCAATATTTCAGAATTCTCAGAACATCAATCTTTTTTTAAATACACCAGCTCAATTGGCAGCACTTAATGAGGCCCGATTAGCCTCACTGTTTGTTCTTGTTTTTCTTTCCAGCAGATACAATTTCTTCCAAACTGAGTTATTTCATTCCAGCTATGTTGAGAAGTTGTGTCCTAACACAAAGCTTCAGTGTTGTATTGCTTAAACCAAGCAAGTGATCTCCACTAGGCAGCAAAGTCTATTCAAGGATGCTAAACGCTGATGAACCATTCATCATCTGTGTCTGGCTCTCCCACTGACACAAGTGTACAATGTTGCTACATGTAGGTTGTGGCACACTAAGCTTTTCTGCACTTACGTCATGTAGACCAGGTATTGTTATACACTGGGCACTCACGGACAGCCTGTGTGTATGCAGGTTGACAACACAATAGGCAGCAGTCGCATGGGCACCGGGCCTCATAGATTCTACACCTGGCTCATCAAGAATAATGAAACAACGTGCCAGGCACAGGTGGGGACAAAAGATGGCTGAGTGGATGTCAGCTGTATAGCAATGACAGGTTCTATCGATATCCTACTCTTGCTCTGATGAGTTTCTTCTTTAACCGAACACTCCCACATATACATGACCAATGAGGATCCTAGGGAAATTGCCCACACACTTGAACTTTACAGAGACGTTATATGTTGCCCATGCAAAAATTTAGCCCCAAAGACGCAGTACTCTCATTGATTCTTGGAATGAAGTTACTAGTGGGGAGAGTGGTTAAGGGAGTTAGGGCTGAAATTTAATTGTTAACTCTCCTTCACTTCTTGGGGATAAATTCTATAACATTTAGAATTGTACCTCTTCTTTTCTTGTAGTAATATGGCACAAAAATGAACAAAGCAAATTAGAAAATGCTCAGATGTCATCATTCTTCAAAATCTGTTCATTGCATTGACCCTTCCCCCCCCAGATTGAGACTATTCAGATTATGCAGAATCTTGTTGGATTCAGCATGGGTAGAGTTAAGCCTGCACTTCATTGAGTTATAATCAAGAACTACCTGTTGACCACTTCGACAAAGTATTCCCACGTGAGTGACATCACAAGTTCAGCTGGCCACTTCAAAGTAAATACATATGTGAATAAGCCACCACTTGCCAAGGTCACATTGAATAATTCTTCTGCATGCATGCCTCACATGCTTCGGTCACTGAATCACGGAGAAAGAAAAAACACTTTGAAACACGTTTAATCAGTCAAAATCAAGCTTAAAAAAATCCTTCCCAAACATGTAGGTGGAGTCTTTTGTATTGAGTCAAACACACTGACTTTTCATGCAAATATCCACATTACATCATCAAGAAAAGACCCTAAATATATAAAAAAAGTCCAGTTCATCATTCGCCTTGTAAAATTCATTTCATTTACATACACTAATGAGCGACTGATATCAATGAACGATGGTCTTATCTTGAATTAATGTACCTACATGTAGAATGGCAGTTTCAAATAATATTGTATTCTATAATAATATTGTATTCTTGGAATGTGAATGAAATAATACATGTAAAGACAATGTAGCAGTCTTCAGGAATATAGGTCTTAATCAGTGGAGGTATAACAATTAACATCATTCACATTGGTGGTACCTGATATTACAGAAGGGTTTCAACAACATGGTCTCCTATTATGCTTGGTAGTGTTTGCGTTCATTTCACCTATGCTGCATCTTTTTCCAAATATAACTAGAGTTCTGTACTGAACCAGAACAGGCATTTTTAAAATAAACAAGTGGTGAAAACCCGTGTCACAAAGGAATATTTAGTACTGATGTGACTCAGCATATAGCGTAAAACCTAATGCAGGAAAAAAAAGCACGCTCAGAAATCTGGCTCTGAAAAAATCACACACGCGCCAAACCAAACCAAAATGCATGTGTAGGCCTATACATGTTGTCATTAAACCTAGCTCAAGAGATCTTTCAAAACCCAGTTCATATTGGGAGGATTTTGAAGGAATGAGGAGGATGAAGTCCAACAATTTTAAGTTTAAATAATGGTGCCCTTGAAAGCTAACACAAAGTAGGCCTATGTGCCATTGCTGAAGAGCACTGTTGATTCTTGGTGATTATTGTTCAAAGTTTTCTCACAAAACTGTAACCTGGAATTGGTTTTAAGACCACTTTTCGTATAAAACCTCGGCACAAAATTAAGTGGGGGAAAAACCCGTCACCAGACATTGCCAGTTTGTGAACGTTTTGTGAAAGAAATCACTGCAAAGGACTTGTCATGGAACAAGAACAATTTTCAAGTTCACACATCAATGAAGACAATAATCAAAATAGTGCTGGCTGAAAAGAGAAGAGACATTTCGTACATGCCCTTGACATTCTAGATTTAGCATCCCCAGGAATATCCAGGCACTCTTCTGAAGTTTTAATAACTTCAGAATTACTGCTTGACAAAAAAAAGAAATGCCAATATTAAATTAGGTGTTGAGAAAAGAAAACTGTGTATTTTTAGGATGAACTATTGTTCATCCAATTTACCAACACTAAATAAAAATTCCAATGTGCTTAATTTTTCCTTTATCAATGCAAATAACCATCATTTCCCCAAAGTGAATCCATGTTTTCCTCCAAGATTTCCAAAGATCTTCCGTTCAGTTGATACTCAACTTCTTCTTGACATCATGTAAATGATGGACTTTACTACTGGACAGAACATGGTTTCAGAATGGCTAATTCAATGGCCAATCTGAAGTTTACCCTTTCCCCCTCCACGACTTTGGAGTTTTAAGCTCCATAAGAAAACCCGCTTTACTAAAGGAACAATGGATTGACAGGTTATTAACCAAATGCTGGAAGTGTTTTGAATAAAGTCTCAACAAACATGTGCCCAATGAGCAGTTTCACTGTCAGAGATGGAGCCTGAAACAGATACAAAGCTGAGATTTGGAACACAAATATTTGTGACTGTTTAAAGTTATAGGCAAACCTCTCCATTTTCAGCATCTCCTTTTAAAAAAGAATCATCATTTATTCAGTGTGAGACACAAGAGGGCACTATGCATCAGGCTTACTCTTGGAAAACAGCACCGACAATGAATATTACTTACAACATAATTCTCTATGGATCAAAACTTCAATCTCAAGATCAATACCCCATGCACACGATAACGTGCAGTTATGGAGTGGGCCTGTGCCCCTGGAAATGCCAACGGTGCTGGATTCAACTGCTTTGAGCTATTATTGTACGCCAGTTAGCCCATAAGAATCCACATCCGCTCAAGCTAGGGGGCACAGCAAGGCCCTGGATAAATCACAGGTCTCCCTGGTCCCTGTGCAGCATTCATGCATAAAAATCCAGCCTTGGTAATGCAGGGCTGCAAAGCAAGTCATAACATTTTATGCACCAACTACAGAACTCTTCAAGCCTGCAGCACATGAGAGCTGTCTGCTGAGCAATGTGTCTCGTATGCCACTTTGCTCAGCAACTTGCTCCCCATTTTCAGCGACTTTGAACCTTATTTTCTGCCTCACGAAACTGTCAGGAAAATACCTAAGCTGTTTTTGCCTTGCAGGGCATTGCAAGCTATGTGCTGAGCTAGTTTAATCAACTGACCAATGAAAAACGTTCTCCTCGCTGAAGTCTGACACGGAAAAATGTTGAAAAAAATCAAACAGTGAAAATTTGGAATGACCAGCGACTAAATTCACCGAAGCATTTGCGCATTCCAATCTTCTTGAGATGAATTTGAAGTTAACAGTTTATGAATTTGAAAACAGAAAGTTGAAAATGTGATTGAAATCCTATAGATATTAAGGGAGTAAATATGTGCTCGGCTTGTCTAAAGGCTAAGGAGAATGGACACTGATAATTCCGAAGACAAGGGACCTTGTTAAATCTTTCGTCAACATTTGTTCATATTCTTGTTCTTTTCCACACACCGATTTCTAATGCAGAAGGCCTAATCTTCATGGCCTTTTGTCATTTACATAATTGCAATCCAATGGGGTACTGAAAGTACAAATTTTTTGGGGGGGGGCTTTGGAGGATTTGAAACTGATTCTGATATTCATTTCCATTAATCTGAATTAAGGTAAACAGTAAAGAGAGATGTAAATACTATACAAGTGATGATTGGTGGAGGCTGTCAGAAAGCAGCTGCCTGTACTTTGCTAGTTCTGCATAAATGTACAATTTCAAGTACAATGGAAAAGAACAAAAATGTCAATTAGGAAAGTAGAACAAAGGGAAAAGAACTGAAATGTGAATATATAAAAAAACAGTTGTAACTTTATAACGGATGTGAACAATAAGATAGTAAATACAATTTATCATTCAGTTAATTAATTTGTGAAGCATTTTGAGCAGTATGTTTAATATGAAGTTTTTGCTTTATTGTTATACAAGATTGATTTCAATTGTTTAGAAGTTTCTTTAAATATATTTAAAATCAGTAAATGACCTAAAGGGGGTACTGGTGAGATGCTATTCTGGAATATTGGTCATTTATGTCTAACAGTGGAGAGATATTTAATGAGCTGCCCCTTAAAAATGAAAGTTACTTGAACTTCTTATATAATAATGATGGATATCTGAATTCTTTGTAAAAAGAACTTCAAAGTGAAAGACCGGAAGGTAATAAATGTCATACCTGAAGCTGACTCCAAGCTGGTATCATGAACAGGATGCATATTAGATTTAAAGAAAAGAGGGCGGTGTATGCCAGTAGATTTGAATGATTTATTATCTTAAGATATAGCAAGACATAGTTGTTTAGGTTAGACAAGTATTGAACTATTGCCCAATGCCACAATACCATATTGCAGATGCAGTAAAGATAACGGAGAAAGAGCAGGCATCCAGGCCAATAGGCACTTGAGCTTCCAGAATATAACAAGAGAATGCGAAATAGACATAAGAACGTTTTGGCAATAACTTTTCCAGGCAGTTTTTTTTTTTATATTTACGCCAAGAGTAGTTTGCCTCACTTGGTTTATTTTGGTGTTACTGGAGAAAATGTTGAGATTTTCTTCTGGGTTTCTGTTATTTGAGAAAATTACCAAATGTCCTTTTTTAGGTTAACTAATTATCTATTAGAATTCATCCATCAAGAGACATATTCAACCCCCCTATCTAAAATTTGTATTTGCTTTCGGATCACTCCTGCCATAGAATGTTTTGTTTCCTCTGCAAATAAAACGATTTTTTTTAAATCTAAAGAATTTAGTAGATCATTTTTGAATTGGCCTTAAAATAGATCCTTGGGGGACACAAGATACATGTATATTGTCTGCAGTGGAGGGTTGTAATTTTGCCACAAATAACTTTGTTTCCCATAAGTTTAGTCATTTCTTAGCCATTCTAGTGCTAATACCTTGTATTCCATATTTTCTGATTTTTAGTCAATAGATATTATTTAATACTTGATAAATCT